TTTGAATTTTGACAACATGTGTAAAAATCACGAAAATCACGAAAATTCGCAAATTATTTTAAACTAGAAATTCATAAAAAATTTTCTTTTTAAATCTAAGATTTCAAAATTTTTAATAATCTATAATATATTCTAGACAGATAAACCGTCTTCGCTTAGAATCGTTTTTCGTATACAATGATATAATATTATTGGATTCAAATTTATTCCATCCATTAGAGTAACCCACTTGTAACCTACTGTACAGCAGAGCGACATCTACGACTTACCCGCCTTTTTTAAAGTTATTTTCTATATAAATGTCGATAAAATGTTCGTTTGATCAAAAAATATTTTTATATTAGTACTTAACTATATTTCATTTAAAAATTATGTCTAGATATGTATTAAATATTTGGATTTTATTATCATTATAATCTATGGGCTGTGAATTTAATGCATTTGCGTGTTTTTTTTTTTGCTACACTTTATAAAAAAATGGATTCTGCCAAAATTTGTTTTGACTTATTTGTAGTTCAAATACCAAATTTTATTTTGCATATTTTTGCATATTTCATGGGTTAGGGCATATAAATGCATGTTTTAATAATTTTTTTGTTTAAATGCTTTTTTTTTCGTAATATTTACATTTTTTCGGTCAATCTTATAGTATAAACCATAACTTTTATAGTTTTATCGAAATTATTCTATTTTTACTCGGGTATTTAACGTGTATTATTGTTTATTAAATTAATTTACTGATGTCAACTCAACGAAGACCAAGACTAGTTAAGATCAACAACTCATATACTCATACCAAGAAGTAAAAATACTAATATTTAAACTAAATAAATAAAAAAATTATACTAATGAAAAAAATAAAAATAAAAGTTTAATTTTTGTAGATTTTTTTACATATTTTAAGAATTTTTATAGCATATTTTGTCAGATTTCAGTACATATTGCATTCATATTTAATAGTTTTTAAATGCATTAAATTCACAGCCCTGATTATAATTATTAAAAGCTTTATTTGCATTTGATTTTTATTTATGTATTTAAACGTATTTTTTAAATTACACTTATTAGTTACTAACAAAATGATAAAATATGGTATTATTAGGTTATATACTTATATATTTATAATAATGATATGCTAATAACTATATTTTTATAATATACAAATGTCGGGGAATAAGGAGGCCAACCAACGTTGGCCTAATAAATATTTTCTGAATAAGTGCCTGCTTCTACTATAGGTACAGCAGAACGGATACCTAGGTACTTTCTTCCATTTATCATTGAAAGTATTATCAATTATAATTACATTGTGTACTGCAATTTCAATATTATGCATAATATACATTATTGTGAATAAAGCTTAAGATTTAAACAAAAATCAAAAATTCATAATAATATATTCATAATATTAAATATTTTAATCAATATTGTCGTGTACTATTTAATAACAAGAAATAAGAATACTGTTAAAATTGCAAAATACCAGCCCAATATAAAAATAAAATGTAACTATAAATATTATTATAGACAATATTAAAATAATACCTCTAATCTCTATAGTAAAATAATTTTAATTATTACAGTGTTAATATTATAATATAATATGTTTTTATGTTGTTTGCAGGTCATAAATTAATATAAAATAGAATATTTTATGAATTTTTAACTACCACTTATAAAATAATTATCACATTTTCAAGAATTTTGTCAAAATCGAAACTTTAAACGTGTGTATAAAAACCCACGTATACATTATATATATGTTTAAGATTCTGAGGATCAATTGCAATAATGTGTGTATTATGTTTTTTTTTTTTATTATTATTAAAATAATATGTACTKCTTAGACAAAATCGCATAATTGAAACATTTTTCATTGGTATTTTTTACATTACCCTGACAGCATTTTGTAATGATAACACTAAGTATAATATATTATTAAACTGTTGTACATTAAATGCTAATTTAACTATACTGAGTCTAAATTACTTTCGATTGGAGTTTTTCCAAATAGTTGACTTCGATAAGTTTCAGATCACGCACCCAAAAACCGTCCTTAAGGTACATGATTCGTGGTTTGATCACAAATGTGTCCAGTAAATTTATTGCGTCCGTGCAATAGTCTAGCAACATCCACTTCCATAGGTTTTCCGAAGTCTGATAAGGAAATGTTATACGCAACGGTATTACCCAACAATTATACAGGTAGCACATGGTCACTAAGCTTAACCAAGCCACGTAACAAAAGCCTATATAGAACAAGTAAGTAACAATATTAAATTTATTTTTTAGAATAATTTATATTAGAGCAATATTAAAACTGATTGGCGGTTAGTTTCTATTATATCCGTACTCTGAGGTTCGATGATGAAGTCCAGACTAGTGACCCAAGCCAAAAAGAACCACGAGCGTTTTTTCAATGACTTTTCCGGTTGCAGTTCTATTGGCATGTCGGATAATTGGAACCTCGAATGAGCCGACAATGGGTGTAAACTATCCGCGTCTATAGTTAATTAACAATAGGACAATATTAACAGCAATAATATTTAATTGGGTAGATATATCKTAGGTATATTTGTTAAATATATAAAATTGTCGATACATTTTAAGAAGTAAAAACTGCTTTCTAACGTTATTATGAAGTATTTTTGTATAAATACGACTTAAATTTGTAAATACGAAGATATACATATACAATATGTATGCATCATAAATTAAAAATTTTTGAATATTATTAAATATGGTTTAACAAAATATGATAATATTAGTTTTGTGCAGGAATATTATTTTCACTACCTACATAGTTTTAAAATCTAATTCATATTTAACTCATGAAAATGGACTACTTTTTACAAAAAGAAATAGATTTTACCAAAATATGGCTCCAAATCCTATTATCTATTGGTGGACTAGTCTATAATTTCTCATTGAGGATATAATTTTTAAATTAAAAATCAACGCCTTCTAAACCGGCGATGTTGAATTTTATAGGTAAATAAGTACTTACCTATAATTAACTCGAAGTTGATAATTTTCATATAATCTAAGCAATTCAATTCAAAATATATATTTTATTAAAACCAAAAATGTTGCCCTGTCCCTGAGTAACTACTAATTTATTGAACATTTTTTCTCAAATCCACCTTTGATTTCATACGTAATATACTGATCTGTAATATGCTCTAATAATATAGATATAYATAAATCTAGTAGAAATATAATATTATGAAATGTTCACTTAAATCAACATCCTGGTAGCCGGTAGGCACATGTTTTCCATTACTCATTAATTGTATACATATAATGTGGTATCTATTATCTTTATAATATATACGTAGTACCTTTATAACTAAAATAATAATACAAAATATTCATAACCATGGAGATGTCGAGATAATGGACCACTCATCTCTACGAGGCCGAGACACTTATTCAGACATAGCCCACCCTTGGCGCCAACACTGTAATAACCATTGCT